CTTCGCCCACTCGCCCTGTAAGCAGCCCCCTAATCCCTTGGGGCCCCCTTGGTGCTGGTTCAAAGGTGCGCCTGGGATCGGTCATTTCCCTAATTTAGGTTTCGTTAAGAATTAGCTTATTTCCTTTGGAATTACTGTCGTCTGGCGCACAACATTCCAGTGAAATCTGGAGAAAACCCTTTTCTTTAACCGGTTTCTGCAGATACCCCACCACTGAACTACAACAAAGAGGGGAATGACTTGAGGTGTTTTGTTTTTTTTACGGAACCGCAGTGGGAACATCAGCACCGATTCCCCTGCCAAAACTGAGGGAGATGCGTCAAGAAATTAGCAGCTGAATGATCACATTGTTACAACGTCGTTTTCACACGTCGTTTTTATTCTTCTGTTTCTCCACCTAGTGATAACGGGGGTTATTTTCAAGGCAGGAATGAAATCCTCTAGGGAGCGTAGGGGTTTTTTTGCCATTCCTGAGGACAGCGTGTGTGTGTGCGTGCCCTGCGTTTGCCACAAGTGGGTCACGTCAGGCGAGCTGTGACACTGCAGCGGCGGCGGGGACTGAGCCCGGAGCCGCCTCAGGAGCTCGGCCGAGCCTCGCTGCTCGGGGCTCTGACCCAAGTGGGACATGCCAGGCGTGCCGCAGCTTTTAATGGCGTGGAGCGAGGCTGTGGCTGTGCACTCACTCATCCCCGCGTGGGTAGGGGCCAGCGCTCGCACGTGGGGAATTTTGCTGCTTTATGGCTTGCTTTGTAAGAGTTTTGCTGCTTGGGTATTTGGTGTATGGCCCTACTGAAAATTAGGAGTAGGCAAGTACATACGCTATGTATTTCTTTTTCACAAGGATGGCTTTTCTGAAGTTTTCCTTTTTTCTCCTTTTCCTTTTTCCCCATTTTCCTTTTTTTCGGCGAGAGCAGAGAAACGCCTTCTGCAGAATATTTAAACCTCTTTTAAAGAACTCTATTCTATTCTATTTTTAAAGTTGCTCCTTCTTTAGAACATGGCAGCTTGTCTATTTCATTTTATTTCATCTTGATTACCTTGGTAGGTCTGTTGAGTCAAGGATCTGTAACATGGCAGCGCACTGTCTGCATTGCTTTTCTTGACTTGATTGTTCTCATGTTTGTTTTTATTTTGGAAGATTATTGCTGATGTAGTAATACAATTTCTTCCATTAATATGTAATTTTCCATCTGTCCTTCCACTTGAAAATGTTACCTTGACTTCCATAAAGCCAAAACCAGCCAAATCTCTGAGTAAATAGGTAAAAATGAGTTTTTAAAAACTAACTGTATGGACAGAATTAAGTGTATTACAGAGTTGTATTAGTTCTTGATCCATGTGAAGCTGGCATGGACCCAAGCCAAGTAAAAGGGGTGTAGGTGTTTAGTTCTTTTCAGAGGTTATAAAACCTGATTTTGGGTGCCTCTGATTTTTTTTGTCCCAGTGGTAGAAGAGTGTTATGAGAATTTCTGAGATTTGAACAAAGAGACACACAGTCACACAGTTGAGAAAGACCAAGTGTAGGGACATGGGTGGGCACCAGCTTTTCTTTGAGAATTTGGGTTCCCAAGATGGAACTGAAAAATTGATTCTGTTGGCTTTGGTGCCAGAACCATGTCCTGAGGTAAATGTCATCTAGAATGTTTTGGAAGGACTGAGAGGAGTTTCTGTCCTTCTTGAGATCTTGCAGAGCAGTGAACAGCTGGAATTGCTTCCTGGCGTTTATGGTACCCCAGAGTTTGAAGTTCTTGCCAGGGCATTGAAGGTGTTTGTTCTCTGTGGTGCTTGCAAGGAGCAGCTCTGGTATTTCTGGTGTCACAGAGCTGCTGCTACAGGTTCAGAGCCCTGTGGTGTTCGTGCCTTTGTGTGGCTGCATCTTGTGCTCACCCTCTGCTCAGAAGAGCAAGCAGGAAGAAACAGTGTTTTCTCATCTCCTGGTTAGAATGCTCAAACTCTGAAGTGTTTTCAAGAATATTTTTGTATTTTTTTTTTTTTGCCTCAGCCATAGACAAGTTACTTTATGCCTTTTTGGATTGCAGGTTGTGATTTGGACCCTTATTATTTCTGATAGTTCAGTTAATTCCTGTTTTAAGTGCCTGCATCCTCTTTTGGTCATCTTTTTGCAGCAAATTTCTGTGGATGTGGGGCCTGTGCCCTTGTGGAGCACTTCCAAACTCTTCATGGTCCTGCACAGGGGTAGGAGTTGGCTGGGTCTGTATGCTGAAGTGCATTTTGAGAAACATTATTGAGTAAGAGGGGGAAAAAAAGAGGAAAAAAGAAAGCATTGAAATTCTTTCTACTTTGGAACAAGCCCCGAAGCAAATGTTGGTTGCCTTTTTAAGACTCAGACTTCAAAGCCATGTGCCAGGAAGTGTCTTTGGTTTGTTGGAGCCTGAGCCTTTGTTGTGAGCACATTTTGCCTGTGTAGGTAAGAAGACCTGACCAGTGCAAAAGAGGCCAGAATTTTGTGGTGTGCTGGGCTGTCATTGCTGTGAAACTGCAGCTCCTGAACACCACAGGGATATTCTGGGTTTAGAATCTGTTGCCTGGAATCCAGAAAACAAGAAAAACAGGGAAGAGATGGTGTCAGCAGGCACTTACAGGAGGCGGGGAAGTAGTGATGGACACCTCTGCATCTCATGGGTGAAGAGGACAGACAGAAGGACAGTGAAGGACTGCCTCACTTAGTGAAGTGAGGAATTTAGGGAGCAGATAGGATAGAGAAAGCACAGGCATGAATCATAAGGAGTAGGAATTTGTGGTGCAGTGGTCAGGTAGGTTGTGAAAGCAGGAGCAGAGGAAACGAATGCCAGTTCTTCAGGTGCTGAAGTGACACTTCAGGCTGCTCAGGTCACAGCAGATGGCAGGCTGGTGTGCATGATAACACAGCCCTCAGCACAGGCACAAAGGGCATCTGAACTTTCCCCAGAGATCAGGACAGACAGCTCCATCTTCCTGTGTGTCTGCAGTCTGAGGAGAGAGGCAGTTTTACTCCTGCCAACCCTTAGTACCCCTTTGCCTCCTACCAAAAATACCCTCCTAATTTCAGATACAATCTTTGCTGCAAATTCATGAGTAGCAGAGGTTTGTGTGAGTGATGGGAGGGTACTGCACTTAGAAGATGGAGGGATGAAATGAGCAGGTGAGGTAATGAACAAGATATTGGTGCAGGCACCCCAAAAGTTGGGAAAGAAGCAACAGAAGAGAAGAAAATGAACAGTGAAGGCAGCACAGAAAATATGACAAGGTGAATAGGAAGGACATTGGTAGTAGACTGGATGGGTGCATACCAAATAGATGGGAGGAAAGCAATTTGGGTATGAATAATTCTTGCTGGAATTACTGTGTGGGATTTTGTTACTCTTCTTGTTTCTGTGGCATGGCAGAAATTGATTGCCATCAGTCAAGCTATTTCTTGCATCTGAGGCTGAAAGACTTTTCTTCTGCTCTTGGTTCTGGAAAAAAAGCATTGGGTGAAGGGCTGTTCCTCTTCATGGTGGGCACTTCTGTTGGAAGTGCTTGACAGAATAACTGAGAGACAATTTATGTCCAGTTGGATACCACAGTGACTTGTTAGCACGGCTGTCTTTTGAATACAGAGCCCTTCCAACTGAGCATCACACAAATACTGAACACCTTGGAAAATTATTAGTGTTCTACTATTT